TCCTAGAAATTGGAAGGGGGAATTGAAGGTAATAGGTACTTGCTTCCTGCCAACTTCGTAATGAAATTACTGTTCAGCAGAAATTTCTGTTAGAGTTTTTCTTTTTTCCTCCCAAGGGGCTGGAGACTCCAAATAGATGAAAAGAGACAATATTAATGTTGAGTATATAGAGTCATTGGTCCAGAATATTGAATATTCAAGGAACTCCAAACAATCCGTAGCATAAGGGTTTCTATATAATTGTTTTAATGTAATCTGAAGAAGGCAGATTGAATCCAAATGATCACCCTGATAATTCCACCTGCTTTCACTGGGAAATGGAAGAAAAGGGAATGAGTAGAGAAATAGAGATGGGAAATTAAAGGCGGAGATTTAAGTCATTTAAACAGGTAAATCCAAAGAAAGACACTCACTGGTACATGCTGGCTTCTTGAGTTCAACAGTGACTGACATTCGGTCCGTGCACATAACCTGCAAGTGGCTGTCCCCAGGGCCATCTGTCTATCAAAAATCAAAACATTTGCTCTCTGGTCTGCTGCATTGGTCAGTTTTCATCATTATCACAAATAACCTGAGATAATCAACTTATGAAGAGCGAAGGTTTATTTCAGCTCACAGTTTTGAAGGTTCCAGTCCATGATTGGCAAGACCATGGCTTTCAGACGTGTGGTAGGGCTGCATATGATGGCGGGAGCACATGGGAGAAAAATGGCACTTACTTTGTAGTCACAAAGTAAAAAAGAGAGAGGAAAGGACAGGGGTTCCCCCTACCCTCTTCCAAGGAGGCCCACAATGCTCTAATGACCTCCCACTAACCACTGGGTCTTGAAGGTTCCGCCATCTTCCAGTAGCACCACGCTGTAGACCAAGCCTTTGGGGAAGATTCAAGATGCAAACAGCAGCATCTACCTTTTCCAAACAGATAACGACCTGGATATCTCTAAACTTCTTGATCCTTTACTAACCCTCGTCAGTCTTCAGCACATTCGGGGCATTAGGGAGATTCAACCTGAGTCCACCCACCCTGAAGTGGTAGACAACGGACACCTGGCGAGAGAGCCCGCTGGGTTCAGCAAGAGGCACCTCCAGGCGTTGACCAGCCTGACCACGGGATTTGGGGCGGGAGCAGTGGAGAGTGACGGGGGGTGGAATTCCATGGCCTGGGTGTCCCCCAGAGCCGCTTGCCTGTCTGTGCTGCTCCCAGAGCCTCTTTCCTGACCGGTCACGGCGAGTGTCCTCCGTGCGTCGCTGTCTCCTTCAGACTTGCTCCTGAGCCTCCCCCCGGTGCCCTCAGCAGGGAGAGGCCCTCAGAGCTCTGCTGACGACTTTCTTGTCTGATTCCTGCTTCTGTCCCCAGCGTCACCTCCCAGGTTTCTGCCCCACATTCTCCACATCCTGAGGGCTCTGACCGGGCTGGACTCACGGCCCCAGGAAGTCCCGGGGTCCCCCTTTGGCTCTTGTCTTTCCCTTCACCCTGTGCATCCCTCCTCGCTCTTACTCACCTCGTTCTGATCCCGCCCAGACATTTCCACCTGCTTCCCAGTTCCAGCCCTGGAACCCCAGTAGACGCGGCCACCTTTCCCTGTGCGCTCCCCACCTCGTAAACACACCTGCTCTCCGTGTGTGTGTGCGTAGTCATCTACGTCTCCCTCCCTACCCTGAAAACACACGGCCACTTTTGTATGATTCTCTTAGCGGAGGTTTTGGCACAGGGTGTGGCACACGGTGGGCACTCACCCACGTCCCTTGGACGGGAGGATGGACGAGCGTGTTGATGAGTGTACTGATGGACAGGAGGACGGCTGGACGTGTCAACAATGGACACACGCACGGATGAGGGGAAGGGACTTCCAGTGTCGATCTCTCAGGATCCTCAGCCACCAGCGTGAACTGGGCCACTATTCTATGCCACACAATGTGACAAGGCCAAAAATAACCAAGAGGAATGGTACTAAAATGTCAACTTGAAGAATAAAAACAGTCTAATCTAGGTCTCAGTTAGCTACTGAGAAAGCTGCAGACACTGAGGAATTCAGCCAGAGTTCAGTTTTCCTCTACACCCCAGACCAAGAACTTCTGTGACGGAACCAAAAATCATCCCGCTAAGTGACGTGAGCCAGGCTCGGAGAGTCGAGGGTCAGATGTTCTCTCTCATATGGGGGAGCTACGGGGGGTGGTAAGAAAGGAACATGACCTCACAGAAATAGAAGGGAGGCTACGGGCGGAGGAAGGGGATCGAGAGGGAGGGAGAAGGGGAGGCCGCGGGGAAGTTCTAGGGAACCGGATCTACCAGATGGTGCCGTGTCCATGTGAATATACCACCATGAATCCTGCCAGTGAACGTGACCGCCACGCGCTGATCAAGGTACTGGTGATAACTGAAGGGAGATCCACAGAGCGAGCAGATCAGGGGAGGGAAAAGGAAGGTCCTGGGGAACGAGGTGGGCCAACTGGGTTTCCTGCGTGTGCAAACAGGGCGCAGTGATCCCCCATGAGGCCTGGTCATCATGCACCAATGAAACATAAGGGCCTTGGTTGGGGCTCCTGAGGTGCCCCTCCTGCACCACGTCCGTTGAGCACACCCCAGGCCAGCGGCCAGCCGAGAAGCATCAGGGCAGAAGACACAGAACCTTTTCCATCGCGTTGACGATGGCTGTGTCGCGCCACTCACTGAAGTGCTGGCGCTCTCTCGGCGGCTGCTGGCTTCTGCTTCTCCTGGTGGTGACCCTGGGGCACCACTCCTGCAGGAGGCCTTCCGACAACACCCGGATGCACTGCAAGGTCCCGGGAGACCTGCTCTCCCCGACTCGTCCCCGTGCACGCAGTGTGACCGTCGGCCCTCCTCCTGGTGGGTGTCCCTGCCGTGGGGGGTTCTGGGCCTAGCTGCCTCTGCTCATGGGAGGCTCTCTCCTTCGCCCACCTTTCCCCTCCGAGGTCCCCAGAACCGCGCGCAGCCCCAGGTTGAGAGACAGGCTCCTGCTCTGTGACTGTGCAGTCTCTCTCCCTCCCTCACCAGGGCACCAGTGGCGTGTTAGCGCTGGCCACCGTCCGTGCGTCCCCGTCCTTGAGTGGACGCAGGTGCGGTCAGAGGGCCGAGGCTCCGTGCTGCCTACTTCTGTATCCACAGGACTCGCTCAGACCGACAGCAAACAGTTGTTAGTCAAGGAAGGGTCAGAGGAAGCTCGGTGCGTGCAGCAGAACTGGGCTGCCGGGCTCCGTCCAGGAGGGCAGCGCTTCCTTCTCTGTTAGTTAAAGGACTTGGTTGTGCAGAACTGGGAGGGTAGAAGACCCACAAAGGAAGTGGGAAATACCCTGACCCTCCCGTGCGTGGACGAGCGCCGTCTCCATCCCCTGTTCTGCTTGCTGACGGGAAACAGTGAGCATCTCCCCATGTCCTTGGCTGGTCGCTGAACATGGCTCTTAATGACCCAGAGGGTCCCCTGAGTGGACACACCGTGCGTCCACTCACCTGGTCCTTGGAGGCCTGATCCCCCCGTGCGATGCGGCCAGGCTCTGTGCGCCGGGCAGACCACAGGTGAACAAGGGCCCCGGGCCAGTCTCTCTCTGGAATCCCCCGCGCTCGCTCGCTGTCCTCCTTGGTCTGGGTTTACTTCTTTAGCTGCTTTTGGTGCGAAGAGGGTGTAAAGCAAGAGAAAGCCGGGGCCCTGAGACAGGGCTTCTCCCTGGGGCGGTGATGCCGTGCTCCACCGGTGCTCACTGGGGTCTGCCCCGTGGCCACCGCCGTGTTTTCCTGGACGTCTGAACATCACATTTTCCACAGGCTGCGGGGAGGAAGCGTGGACCCGTGGCTCCCCCAGATTCTGGGAGACGAGCCCTCACTCGGTGGCCCATCAGAGGCAGCCTGACCTGAGGAGCGGGAGGGGACAAGTGTCAGAGGGCACCCGGACGTCACCTGTGCTGAACAACTTGCTGCATGGGCGTCACGGGGGGAGGGGCCAGGAGCCATCGATCCCCTGCCCCGTCCCCCGCCTCGCTCAGTGTGGAACCCTGATGGCCCACGCCCCGCTTGGTCCAGGGTGCCCACTGCTCCCGTTCCTCCTCTTCCTTCCCCCTCCTCTTCTTCGGCCACCACCAGTGTCAGGGCCACCACCGGCTTCCACCTCGATGACAAGAGCGACCTATCCCCACTCCAGCCCTCCTCCAACCTGTCCTCCACGGCCTTCCTGATCTGAGAACAGATGATGAGGTCAACCCCTCAGTTAGACCCGGGCGATGGCTTCCCGTTGTTTAAGACAAAGACAAAACTTCAAGTGGCCCACGCGGCTCACCTGCCAGCGCCCTCGTCTTCCCAGCCTCACTTAATGCTGCATTTCCCTGTCTCCTTCCGCTTCCGTCTGGGGCTCTCCAGGTCCTCACCACAGGCCCTTGGCACGTGCTGTCCCTTTGCCTGCCTGGGTCCTTCTTTACCTAGCCAGCCTACCTGGCCATCACATCCCCTGACATGGCCTTCTTTCTGTGGTAGCACTTGTCATAAGTCTGTGATTCATGTAGTGACACCTGTCCTTTCCCTGAGACTATAGAGGTCACGAAGTTGGGGATCACGTTTGTTTCCTTACTTATCCTCATCACCGTGGCGTGGAGCAGGTGCTCAGTGAGAACTTGCTGAGTGAATGATCAATGGTGAGGTCTCACGGCTCGGAGGTTGGCCACCTGTGGTTCAGGAGTGAGCAGGTTCCTTCAGGAGCTTCCTAAAGCGTGACAGATACGCACGCAGATCCTCCCGAGAGGTCACTGAACCCAGATCTGTGGATCTGCCGGTCAAGAACACTCCACTCCGTGAGCTAACCGGTCGACCATTAATGCCTGCACAGGGTGGGGATTCTGGTGACCACAGTGCCCGGTCGGTGGGCAGTGCCTGGAAGGAGCCCTCAGGGGATGCATGGTGGCTGTGGTGCTGTGCTGGGCGTGCTGTCCACTCATTTGCTTGACACCTGTTTAATTTTTTTCTAAGATGTGTCTTTCTCTCTTCCTCCATCTAGGTTTATGGTCAATGTGACGTGGGACGGCAAAGACTTGTCCTTCACGGAGGAGGGCTATCAGGTGCACCCCAGGCTGGTGGTGATCGTGCTGAACAAAGACCGACAGTGGGAGAAGGTGAGCAAGTCCGCGGGCGGGACGCGGGGAGCAGAAGGCACAGGTGCCTGCTCCGCGCCGCTCCTTCCCAGAGCGTCTCCTGGGGCTGCTCCAGCCTCCGCCCCAAAGCCAGGGTGGACGATTGAGGGTGCCGTCGGAATGCCTTCCTGGTGTGCAATGCTCTGTGGGTTCGGACCTCAGCTCCCCTAGAAGCAGTCCTGGGAGGATCTGGGATGATTAAGGCAGTCGGAGTTGGTCTGCGCCGTGCAGCAGCGAGGTTGAGCACACAGCAGTGATCACACCAGTCTGCCTGAATCTTCTAAATGGGCTCCATTTACCGTGTGGCTGAACACCCTGCATTTCCATTTACTTGGTCTTTTGCTTTAAGTAAACTAATTTTCCAAAGCTTGAATCTATCACTTTGGTAAATCACATGCGGAGAAGGACTTTAGGATTCTCGTAAAGCACATTTTCAAGTACGTATGTATTCACTTTGAAAAACGTGAAAAAAATCAGTGTGCAAAGAAAAAAAAATCATGCCGTACCTTACACAGGCCATGTCCTGAGTCATAGAGCAGAGGCTTCCCCGGGGACCTACAGATGACCTTATGTGTGCAAGGACGTGCAGCATCTGTCCCTGCCCCCAGCAGTCAGCTCTCAAATGAGTCACCACAGTTTCCCGTTGAGAATGGAGTGAGAGGGACCAGGAAGGAAGCCTGGGGGGTGGTCTGCCCGTCCCTGACAAGCAGTTCCTGACGCCTGAGCCCTGCGCCTCTTGGGAGGGGAAATGCTGTGCAGACAGGAGCACGGCCCGAGACCAGAACAGACCCTCGAGTCTGGGGAAGGAAAGGAGCTGGGGGGGAGTCTGACGCTGTACCCCCAGCTACAAAACACACGGGCTTCCAAGAACATGGGGAGGTTCAGCAAAGTGGGCTCCACCTCGGAGCATGAGACAGATCTCAGTGTAGTCAGAGGCACTGAGAAGATGCGGGTGCACCACCTGGAACAGAAATCAGTAACAAAGAGAGAGAATTCCCCAAGTGAGGGATCACTCTACGTTTCTAAAGAATGTTTAGGTCAAAAAGAAATGAGAAAGGCATTGGGAGATATTTTGAATAGAATAATCACAAAACCCCACTCATCAGACTTGAAGAATAAAGTTGAAGAGGTGCTGAGGGAAACCCTTGGCTTTCAATGTGACGACAAGAAAGGGGGACGGAAAGTCATCCACTGAAGCCTCTGTGTTAAAGAGCTGGAAAAAAAGAGCAAAGTAGACCCAGGTGAAGGAGAAGGGAAAAATAGTAAGTAAAAATCAACAGAGTGGAACACAAGCTCCTGAGTGCAATCAGCAAAAGGCCAGTTCTTTGAAAAATTATTAACTTGTGATTCCTAGCAATAGGATTACACAAAAGAGAGAAAAGTGCAGATAACTAGTGTTAAAACCCAAGAGCGAGGCCCTGAGTGACTTAGCAAGACTCTGTCTCAAAATGAAATGTTACCAGGGCTGGGGTGTGGCTCAGTGGTTCAGCACCAATGAGCTCAACGCCTGGTACAGAAAAAGCAGACCAACCCCAAACCACACACACACACACACACACACACGCACATACATGCACACATATACACACTCATGCACACACACACACTCACACACATGCACACACATATATACACTCACGCACACACACACTCACACACACGCACATACATGCACACATATACACACACACGCACACACACACACTCACCCACACACGCACATACATGCACACATATACACACTCACGCACACACACATGCACACACATATACACTCACGCACACACGCACACACACGCACACACGCACACTCACCCACACACGCACATACATGCACACATATACACACTCACGCACATACACATGCACACACATATACACTCACGCACACACGCACACACACGCACACACACACACTCACCCATACACGCACATACATGCACACATATACACACTCACGCACACACACACACGCACACACACACACTCACCCACACACACACATACATGCACACATATACACACTCACGCACACACACACACATGCACACACATATATACACTCACACACACACACACACTCACACACACTCACACACGAGGATATCACCACAGAAAATCACAGATGTTATAAAAATGTTATGCCGGCAAATTTGACAATGTCAATAAGACGGGCAAATACCTTGAAGAAACATGATTTTTAGAAACTGAAATGATAAGAAACCATCTGAATGGCTCTGTATTTGCTAAAGAAATTGAATATATATCTAAAAACTTTACCATTTGGATATGATAAAAGAAAAACTTCTGGCCCAGTGGGCTTAACTTGACTTTGATCAAACACTTAAAAAAAGAAATAACACCAAAGTACACAAAGCTTTTCAATATGTTACTAATCACAATTCAGCCATATATTTTTAAAAGGATAATTCATCATGGATAAGTGAGGTTATTTTAGGAATGCAGTATTGCTGTAGCATTAAATAATCAATGTAATTTACCATATTAACTGAATAAGGAGAAAATTATATGGTTATCTCAATAGATGCAGAAAACACACTTGACAAAATTATGTGGTCTTCTCATTAGATACAGAAAATGCATTTGACAAAATCCAATAGGTGTTCATGATAAATAAGATTCCTTATTTTAATAATAGATATCTGTGAAAATGCTATAGAGAATATCTTATTTAATGGTGATGCAATAATGAAAATAGATTCACAAGTGTACATTCACATTATTTTTGATGAATGGTTATGAGAAAAAAGGAAAAGAAAGGCTTTTTAATAAATGGTATTGGGCCAATTGAATATCCACATGGAAAGAGAAAATTAACCTTAGCTCACCACTCATACTATAAAAATATACAAAAATTTACTTGAAATGAATTGCAGACTTGAATGTGAAAACTAAAATACAAATTTTCTAGAAGATGGGAAGATTTTTTTTGTGATCTGAGAGGATCGCACATTTCTTAAACAGAATGCAAAAAACATTAGACATGTAATAAAAATCATAAACTATACTCTGTCAAAATTAAAAAACTTTGTCCATGTAAAGACAGTTTTAGAAAATGAGAAAGGCAAGTTACAAATTAGAAGAAAATATTGGCAATACATATAAGTTACAAAAGACTTATAACCTGAATATGTAAAGAACTCCAACAAATCAATAATCAAAAGAGAAAGAGATTGACTTAGTCACCTCCCCGAAGACATTGCTCAAATGGCTAATAAATTCCTGAAGACATGATAAACCTCTTGGTCATTGGGGACATGCAAATTAAAACCACATTGGGACGCGAATTAATATCCATTGAGTGGCTCTAAATCAAAAAGACTCACAATATCAAGTTTAAGTGAGGGTGTGAAGCCACTGAATCTCAGGCCTCGCTGGTGGGAATATAGAATCACAACCACTGGAAACTGGCTGTGTTTTTGTAAAGTGAAACATTCATAAACCTGTGATCCAGTGATTCCATTCCTGGCTGTTAATACCAAAGAAATCAAGCATATGTCCCCAGTGTTCCGTTTGTCCAGGAATGCTCAGTGCAACTTATTCTGAACAGGAAAACACCAGAAGCGACTCAAGCGCCCATTTGTAAGGAAATGGATAAATGAATAATGAATGGCATTTTAATAAAATGGAATGCTACTCATTCACAAAGAGGAATGAGTCACTCGTAGGATGGTGCTGTGGGTGAACCTCAGAACCATGACATTGAACAGAGACAGACAGACCCAGAGGTCATGTGTAGGATTCCAGCTACATAAAGTTCAAGTAGGGGCAGGTCTTGCCTATGGGGTCAGATATGAGAATATCTTCCATTGGGAGAGCCATGGTCAAGACGGGGACCCAGAATTTTCCAGAGTGGTGCCAACACTTCCCATCTTGCACACGTGTCAACGTGCTTACAGCGATGGCCCAGGATCTGCTCAGTTAGTTTTTTTCAAAAAAATTTTAAATGCTACCAATTGGGATCCTCAGCACAACTAGCTAACAGCTTCCCCCGAGGGCTCACATCTGATCCCCGACATGAATACCAGTCCTAACAACAGTAGTCACGGGGAACCCCTCACCACTTGCTGTTTTCCCTAGGTGAGTCGCCAAGACCCTGACTGGGACGTGGTCCCTCACTGTCCACTCGACAGCTGTCCATTGGTGCCCCCTGTGGGCAGGCTGTGTTCTTGTGCTCTGCTTGGTGGCTAGTAGGAGGAGGTGGAATACAGATCAGCAGCCTTTCCTAGTAGCTTCATCCCAAGACTCCTGAGACGTGGAGTGGGACTCCAGTCGTGACCCCGCACCTTTTCTCCCTGAGGGACTTCCTCCACTGTCTGGCACCTGTGTGTGAGGGCGAGGCTCCTGGGGTGTGTCCCCACGGGGCACGACCTGATGTCTGCAGAATCCCTCTGCCGGCCCCCTCCTGCCTCTGGGTGTCCTCCTCCTCCACGATGACCCCCTGGATCTTTGTCATCCTGTCCAGGACATTCTGGAGGCTAGACTCTGTCCTCCAGGAGCGTGGGTTTGGGGCTGGCGTGGAGGGTGTTCCTCTTCCCTTCCTTGGGATCCCCTGCCCGCCCACCCGTGTGCACGGGGTTCCTTGATCCTCTGGGAACCGGAGCCTGCTGTCTCCTGGGGTCCTGGTTTTCTTCCCCGTCACTGGTTTTTCCTTATTGTCATAGAAGATGATCAGGCTTTCCCGCTCTGTGTGGGTGAGTTGGGGTGTCTTCATCCCCATCTGAGGATCACTTTGGGAGCAGGGAAGTCCTCCTCCCTGGTGGGCTCTGAGCACCCACCAAGCTCAGGCTCGGCTCACACCTGGGAGTTGCGTGGTGTCTGGGACCTGCTCACTGTCAGCCAGCAGTGTGCAAGGCCCCTGCAGTGCAGGTGAGAGGCTGGACAAGGACGCAAAGCTGTCCTGGGTAAAGTCCATTTTGGATGCAAGAGAAATGCCCCCGGGTGTTTTGTGTGTCCCCCTG